TGGAGACAGAACGTTTTATTGTAAAACCTGGCGGTGCAAAGACTCAGACAGGTTTGGTCCGTCGAAATCCCCCCTCCCACCTAGAAATGGCGCCGCCGTCGCCCCGCGACTCCAAGAATCGACGGCCACAGCATTCATCGCTCGGCCTCCGTTACCTCCTACTGGGTTGTGTCGTTGTCCTTGTGACGTTTCAAGCATACGTGGCCTATGCGTCGACGCGGACTGCTGGCCGCACACAGAGTTTCCGTACAAGCAACGCCCACTGGGAACCCGACGTGCTGCACCTGAACCAGTTCAACGAGCTGTGTCTGACCAAGGGAGACACGGTAATTGCGTGGAAACCGAATCATCATGTGCGCATTCTCAAGCAGGACACGAACCCCGACGTGTTGTTGTCGGAACTGAGGCAATGTCCTGAAGTTGACGTGTTCTTGCCGGTGGGGATACGGTCCCACGGGTACTGCGAAGACGCGATGGCGTACGTCAAGTTTCTGCACACGCGAGCACTGCCCATGTGGGTGTTTGGCATGGAGTTCCACGACAGCGACGGTGCGATTCGACCTCCTTCACCATATCGTTCTTCTCTCACTCGAAACAACCAGGAAAGGTGTCCACGTACTTTGACCTGTGTCCGAATTCCGCCGTGATGTTCATGAACCACTACTGGGACGGTCTTGACCAAATGACCACGTTTCCACCGCAAAAGAAGATCGTCTTGATGCCGAACGTGGAAATGTACGAGCTAAAGCCGACGCACTACCAACGCGCAGACTACGTCATTGCCAAGACCAAGGACGGGTATCGCCGCATCACAGACTGGTACGCTCCATGCATTCGTCCATTCTCAGCCGCCACAATTAGATTCTCGAGCATCTAACGACGATTCCAGGTACAAGACAGCTGGTAACAACCCTCGCAACACCCAAGTCGTGTTTGCCCAACACACGACCAGCGACCCGACCGCAACAGCGGCGCTCAAGGCAAAGACGGACCCGACCTTCGGCGCGATCGCTCCAAAAGACTGGGACAACCTCACCATTTTCCACGCAAACGGCCGCAGCACTCAAAAGAACACGCCCAAAATCCTCGACTGCTGGCACGACCGGCCGGACATGCCGCTCCTCCACGTGTACTCGAACGACGGGCCGTCCAACGACACGTACTGGAACCATTTCCGCGACAAGAAGCCGTGGAATCTGAAGTATCACAACGGCGAATTCATCGAGCCGGCCAAATTTGGCAAGCTGATGGCAGAAGCGTCGGTGATTTTGTGCCCGAGTATCATGGAAGGGTACGTTCGATGGGCCAGCAACTAGATGGCGCTGACATATAATCGCCAGATTTGGCCACTACATCAACCAAGCTCGCGCTGCGGGCGCCCTCGTCGTCACAACCGACGCCGCGCCCATGAACGAGTTTGTCGATGAGTCCAGTGGGGTGCTCATCGAGAACGCTGTCGCGCGGCCGACGTGGGGCAAGGTTCTGATGGGCAATGACGACACGGAATTCGACGTGACCCCGGGCGATATTTGTGCCGCCATGGACAAGATCCTCGCCATGTCCCCGCACGAACGCGCGATGAAGGCGCGCGAAGGTCAGCAGCGGTATTTCGACCAGCTCCAATTTTTTAGCGATCGCATGGACGACTTTCGGTCGACGTTGCGGGCGGAAATGCAAAAGCGCGCGACGCCGTAGAGCCCCATATTATTCCTAGCGTGTATTTAGTTTCGGGTATATGGTCTTGCGCCGACTCGGCGCCAAAATTGGATTAACACCCGTGGCAGTCTTGTTGTTCGACTGAAATGGAGCCTTGCAATCGTGCCCGGCGCGTGTTGCGAGCGGGCCATCCCTGCACTATGTGGCATGGCAGGGCTGGAAGCCCGATGCACTGACGGTGCGACTTCTTTTCCATGGGCATGAACGAGCTGACGCGAGAACTCGACGATGGTGGGGCTTCCAAACCCCCGTCGTGGATATCTGACAATTGCTCAATAGTGATACAAATTTTTGATTTCTTCGGGAAAAGTGATATTCCATATCCGTCCAGAATGATCAGAAAAACGCGAGAGAAATTGAAAGATACCCTGAAGAAAGTGAACCAATTTTGATTCACGCGCATTTCCTCCCAAAGATTTCCACCTGCCGTGGAGTCCAGAAGTTGGAACGTGGTGGGAAGTGGGCTTGTCCATCGGGCCGGCCCCGTGGACCCTGCCTGTCCAAGAGACCTGCATACACGAGTTTACGACCGCATCGGCCTTATTGCCTGCCCACGACACTGCCGTATTTGCCGGTGTACATGGCGAGCACAGACGGTGTCAAAGCTGGAACCCGTCTACTCGAGTGCCTTGGCTGCGGCGTTCGCGACTTGGCGAGGTCCCGGTGATCTTTCGTACTAAATACAGTGGACTCCGCTGACCCCGAGTTGAATTTGACATGATGCACGTATACAGCATCGCCGTGCTGCTGTGAAACTCACTTGGCGCTCGAGTCTGTTCGTTCAGCACAGGATACGACGACACGACAGCATCGACGTGCTGGCACAGCACTCGACCTTCCTCCACAGTCAAGACAGATCCTCATCCGACCACTCGGCCAAGGATGGTGTTAGCAATGTTCAAGCCGACATCTCGAGACAGTCGTCCTGCATGCGCAACGACGAGCAGCATTGTCGCCTCGAACTCTTCCGCGATATCACGGACAGCTCCCTGTGACAGCTTGCCTTTGGGTGATGTCTCCAGGAGAAACTTAAATGCATCTATGAACGGGTCGTCAGGTTGCGCTTGCTCCCCTTCCCGACCTTGGGCTTCCCGGCGGAGGCATCCACACGAAGTTCCATGTTGACTTGTCGATTCAAATTTTCCGATGACAATTCACTACGATTTGGAGTACCAATTCTGCCATAAAAATGCGACTGGATTGGAGCAAAATATGATATATCCGAAAAATAGCAGGTGAATATTAAATATCACAGGTCTCTCTCACGGGCCGCGACGAATGCGTGAGTTCAGATGCGATGCACGCGGTCATGCTCAGGCGGTCGCAGAGCCACTGGCACTTCCGTAATTGCGTTACGCAGCAATGACAGCCGCTGCCGAAGTCTCGGGCGGTGAGGAAGAAGTGCTGTCGATCCAGCTCGTTGCGGGCTTTATCATCTTGGTCGTCGTGTTCGTCGCCATCATGGAGCGCATTGTCGAGTACCTTTTGCACGTAGCCAAGCGCAACAAAAAGTACAAAGAGATGCTCATCAAGACGATCGGTGGTATGTGCTGTTTATGGTTTTACTCGTCCACGCTGACCCGTTCTTGATGCAGAGCTCATGGTCGTGGGACTCATCTACCTCCTCGTCAAGCTCCTGTCGTACCTTGGGGGCCTGAGCACGCTACACTACCACGCGATCGACGCCGCCGACATTCTGGTGTTTCTCGTCGTAATCTTCCTCGTGGTACAAGCAGTCGTCATCTTCATTGTGCTTACGTACACAAACAACTTGACCGACTCGGTGGACTTGTACTCGATGGAGGACCTCGTGGCCTTGGCAGATGCCGAGGAGGCGCGATCGCTGTCGTGGCTTTTTCTGCCAAAAGCCCGTCGTGGCATGCAGCTCAAGTTACTTGAAGCGCTTTTTGTCAAGGTGTACGAGCTCCCCCCGCTGTTTTCATTCCCCAAATACATCCTCGAGATCCAAGAGGACCAAGTCGTCCAGCTCGCGGATCTTCGCATTTCCCACTGGATCATTCTCGTTGGCATTTTCCTCGTCTTCTTCACGTGCACCGGCGAGATGCAAACCGACCATGCGCCGTACCGAGTTGTCGCCAACGATGGTGCGGTGGAGTCTCTCCAAGACACGCGCGTCCTAGTGATGGGGGTCCTCGCTGGGGCGCTCCTCGGCTGCATGTTGCTCCTCATGTTGTCCCTTCACCGCGCCCGCTTGTTTCTGCTGCGCCGGGCCGGGCAGTTCCTCGAGATATATAATACCCCGACCTGCGCCGTCAAGCTCCTCCAGACCGAGGAATCGCAGGCGGCAGCTGATGGGAGCCCCATCGCTGACGAGCCCCATCACCACCTTGATCTGTCCTTCGACGAGCAGATCCGCCAGATGCGAGACGTGAGCGAACTCGTCCGCAGCAGGGAACCCGTCAAACACCGCCACATCTTTGGTGCCGAGCTCTTTTACCGTCTGTACGCGATGCTGTGTGGCAGGCCGGTGGCCCACCCGAACGCCCTCGACGCCCGCGTACCAGGGGACATGTTTCAACTGCGGGGCTTCTCCCTTCCCCGCGCACAGTTCCTCACGACGTTGCTGTTGCTCCTCAATGGCCTCTACGGCGCGATCCTGTGCACGTCCGTAGTCCCGTCCATTAACTCCACCACAAACGGCCTGTACGTGGCGGGGTGCTGCGTCCCGATCGTGCTCAACATGGTGGTCATCGCGCCCAAGTTGATCTCGAACTTTGCAATCGTCCTTGGCGTGTGGAAGATTGACGGCCGCGTCCTGGCCAAAACGATCGACCATTTCGTCCATGTCGCCAAGCTCAAGCACCAGCTTCACCAAGACATTTCGACGAGCCCCGCGATGGTCGACGACATCCAAGGTCTCGTTGGCGCTAGCGCCGACGGCTACGTAGACATGGACACAATTCATGACACTGTCGCGGCCTGGGGCGTGTCACTCACTCGCCACGACCTCAACACCCTCGTCTACATGGAGTGCCACTGCCGCGGCGGCCGCATCCTGTGCTCGGATCTCGCGGCACTGTGTCGACCACCCAAACCTGTCGCGTCTGGCGATTCCCACGCGTTAAAGCAAACGACGACGAGTGCCCGCCACGGGGACAACGTCGCCTACCAGCGCATGGCATCGCCGCACTAGACGACGTGAGAAGCCATACGATGGCGCTTTTTTCTTTTGAAAGTGCCTGCATTTGGTGGTTGTTTTATGTTTTGATCGAGCATCGCACCCAAATAGCGTGTGGAGATGGACCTGCTCTCGTCAGGCATGGACCAGAAGGGTCGTCTACGGCGCTACCGCCAAGCTGTCCACGAGTTCGGTTCGAGCGTCTCTTTCGCGATCTGGCTGTGTGGTCCAGACACGTATCCACTCGACGACGGGATGATGCCGTGAACCGTTGCCTCATCGCCTGCACGACTTGCTGCAGGATATTCCTCGATGGCCTCGGTTGAATCGACCACTCAGTGCCTGGACTAACGCTGGCCCGCGCGCCGCCAACCCTCCCCCCTGGCATCAACGTGCAGCGGACGACACCTCACTCAAGTACATTCCCGACAATGTTCAACGACCGATGACTCAATACTCGAACACTTCTTTGTGAAAGTCAAACCTGGCGTTGTACGCGCGCAACTGAACGCTGTGCGTGAGGCCGGGAGGACCGCACACGAGCACACACACGGTCTTGCCCTCGTACAAGTCGGCATGGACGATCTCGTCCAGGTTGGGGCGCCCGCCAGAGTACTGAAGGGACTGTCCAGCGGTGGCCACGATGGACCCGTCCGCGTGGCTACCGTCGACGTAGTAGCGAGCGGTGACGAAGGTCGGGACCGGGGCTGCAAACATGAGGGTCTCGGCCGCGAGGAGTTCTTCCGCCGACCGGACAATCCAATGAAACTGGATGTGCGTGTTGGCATGTGCCGGAAGAGTGTGGGGCAGCTGGTTGACCAAACTCACAAACGGCGTGACGCCGATTCCACCCGCGATCAAAATGACTTCGTCGTACTTGGTAAAGTCCACGGACGGCTTTCCGTACGGCCCGCCCACAAACACTGCCATCGAGACCAGGTTCGCCTTGGCTTGGGCGACGACCTGGTCAGCAAACGAACCCGCCGCAAGCGATTTCATGCAAAACGCAATCGACTCGCCGTCGGGCGTGACCACCGCTGAGAACGGATGCCACTGAAGGACCGACACGGACGGAATGTTGACCCAAAAGAACGAGCACGGGTTCATCGTCGCCGCCCACCGCTTGGTCTGAGGCGTCACGGGCAGCACCAAGATGACTGTGTTGGGCACGTGCGACGACTGAATCCGCGCGCTGTACTTGTTCAAGTAGCCCCGGAGGCGCCACACAAACGTGGCAGCGTACAACGCAAGCGGCAGCATCATGGCTGTTCGAACCGCTTCCGTGTGCAGCACGACAAACACGAGGCCCACGATGGACATGATGCGGTGGTAGTAGTAAAATACTTCAAAGTAGTGGCGACGAATCGATTCGTACGACAGCAGCGCCATCGACGCAAACGACACGTACGCGACAAACCCAAACAACGGCACGACTGCTTGCGTCCCAAACGAGTGGGCAAACGTGATGAGCGGCACATTCATCGCGAGATGCAGCGTCGCAGTCAGGACGAACAGCCGACCAAGCCACCGATGCAGCTTGATCAAGCGATCGTGGGACGCGCCAAAGAGCCATTCCCAGTGGGCGCCACGAGCCACGGGCAGCAACATGAACGTCAACGACAGCAAGCTCGTGTGGCCGGATATCAATGCGACGGCTCGCGCCGCCGCGACTGTCGGGAATTGAATCCGAACCGAGATGCCGACGACAACAAACGCCAGCAAGTAGATGATCACGACGACAAGTTCGCCGAACGTGATGTCGGCCAACGTGCGGACGAACGCCGACCAGATCGAAGCCGCGCCAGACGGAGGCGCAGTCAGCCGTTGATGCTTCGCCCACCGGAACGAGCTCCCGACGGAATGCGTCACGACGACACCGAGGCTAGCAATGAGAATGAAGGTGGCGGCCGCGATCCAAAAAGTGTACGTAGGCACGAGGGCCGGCGCCGCAGGGGATGCAGGCGTCGTCACTGCGGAGATGGATGAGAAGCGGATGGTGGCGGACCCTTGAATGTCATGGTAATCGGGCCACGTGGTGGTCCCGACGGCCCAGTTCACAATATTCGCTTCTGTCGTCGAAATGGCAACGTCTGTGGGCACGGTGGCCGCCAGTGGTCGCTGGAACACGACCAAGACGGTGCCGCTCACCACAGATGCCTCGATCACACGCAGGGACGACTGGTTTGGTTGGTAGAGGACGCTATCGGGGGCCGAGTCGAGGAGGTCGTAGAGGGCGGCGGTGCCGTTGGTCGTGTGAAACACGATCGCGTTGTTGGCGGGGGTGTTGATCATGTTGGTAGTGGGCGCGATCGCGAGTGCAAACCACGTCGCGTTTGGGTACTGGACGGTCACTTGGAAGCACGCAAAGGGGCCGAGGACCGCCGACTTGAGGGAAATGGGGCCAAGGTCCATAGGAGACCCATTCAACACTTCCTTCGTGCACGGCGGGGGCGACAGCGGCGTGCCAAATGAAATGGACGCTGACCCTTGGACGTCGTGGTAGTCGGGGAACGTGGTGAACCCGATCGCCCAGTTGAGAATCGTCGGGCCCGTGGTCGAGATAGCCACGTCTGTCGGCCCGACGGCCTCCAACCGGCGCTGAAACGTCACAGTCACGATCCCGTCCACGTTGGACGACGATACGACTCGGACGGACGTCTGGGTCGCTGCAAATACAACCGAGTCCATCGCAGAGTCCTTGAGGTCAAAGAGATGTGCCGACGCGTTGTGGACGAGGTAGACGAGGGCGTTGTTCGTCGGCGAGTTGATCATGTGCGAGGTCGGCGCAATCGAGACAGCTAGCCACGTCGCGGCGGGGCTGGCCAGGA